GAATGCTACAAGATTGTGTTTGGTTTGTCCCATCTTGATTTTTGAGGAATATTTTGAATTCCCAAAAGTCAATTCCACTAGAGCCAACCACTCATCTAAACTTTGTTTTAAAATCAACCAGAATCAACTGTTTTAAACATTCATTTTTGTTAGAGTGATTAGAGATTGGAACAGCTTAGCTAAGGACATTGTTGAAGCGGGAAACCTTGAACTTTTTAAATTAATACTTAACTCATTTTTAACACTATGAATTAATTTTTTTTTTCCTAATATGATTTATATTTTTATTCTGTATATAGTTATATATACATTTTTTCAGAGAAGTTTTATTATAGGGTTAACCTCTATACTTCTCTTTTCAAATTCTGTACACATAAATTTGAATAAACAAGTATGTCATGTTTCAAGTTGGAGTTTACATATTTGCAGTACTTGAAGTCCTTTCCAATTGATAAATTGACAATTCATCTTAAGGCTCTTTCCTTCAGAGTTGATAAAACCTTAGGTTCTCACAAAGTTGCCAAGAAATAAGATATTTCATAGAAACCCACAAAACAGACCCAGCAGATTTTATTTGTAAGGGAAAAGACCTTACCATTGGCTGCTGTCTTCTGCGTGCCACCATCAGGTCACCAAAGTATCGTTGTTTACCCCTTTCGGCTCTTTCAAAAACAATTAAGTACTTTTGTGACTATCTTTATAAAAATATATCTCCTTACCGAAATATCACAAATTCACTTAAATTCGTTCAATTTCAATTTTGCTGTCTTGAGAACAGAATTTTGCAAAATACAGTGATCGTGCAGGTTTTGCATTACAGAATTCAAGACAGGCTATCGCCAATGGTCAACCCCAATACAACCCAACCTTATTTTTTTCCTAAACATCAATTCAACTACCATTTTCGGTGACTAATGCCGCTTTGCTTTGCATTGCTGTGAATTGTTGCCGGTAAACACAGAAACAGATAACACGTTTACATTAAAGAAATGCTAACAGACTGAAATTTAGTAAATACCTTATTGTAGCATTACCACTCAAACTGTCGGACTGAGGGGTTGGCTTCTTCCTCTGCAGGGTTGGTTACTTGTTGTTCCGAGAGCACTTTAGATGAATTGGGATTGTCACTGCGCTTGTGTTGGTCTTCTGCATTCAAACTTTTTTACTGCTTTACAGGCGGACATACACTTCACCTTGGTCACACAGGTTTTACACATGGTTGAAGTTCCACTTGTAGTCATCAGCTACGAAGGTTGTGGTGATGTCATTTGGCAAAATTTCTGGCAGTTGCGTCTTTCACACCATCGGTCATAGAATGTGGAGCTGTTGTACCACAGTGTCCCTTGCATGGTCAACTACCTGACCAGCCTGCGAGTTCAGTCGTTGGCTCGTGCTCTCCTTCTACAGTGGATGTAAAAATAATTCATCACTACTAAGCTGAGTAGGAAGACAACTAGCGCTACATATTATACAAGCCTATCGATGTGAGGTTAAGTCTTGATGGTTCCATCACATCGCTAGAACAGCTTGCGGATCCAATCGATTGCAGATACTCATTAAGCGCTTACCTCTCCTGGGAACGATTTGCTGGGCGGTTTAGATCCACTTCACCCTGTTCAAGGTTCTCGTGGTTGCTGAAGCTTAGGAACGGCAACAGCAACGAACGACAACCAACAATTTAACATTGGCGCGAATCCTCAGGAATATGAAATACCCTGGGAACGAGGTTGTGAAAATACGAAAATAGAGGTTTTTAGAGAGATCTGGGCGCTAACATAGCTTTAGTAGACGGCAATAACGGACTCTAGAGTTTCCAGCAACTATACCCATAAATATCCATACGCTTGACGAAGAGGTCGCCTGAAAGGAAAGCACCGGAGCAAAAATTGCGGGCAAGATTTCCGTAGAACCCCATACTTCATTATGCATACAATTCTTGGATAAAAGAAAACAGGCAAAACAACAGATTACCTTTGGGATTTCGGCGACAGATCCCAACAGGTTCGAAACTCTACACACTCATGATTGCCATCTTAGCGAAGTGGCGTTTCCTTCGTTTAACTTTTTTTGGAAAATTGGCCTGGTCCTAACCACACATTTCTCATTGAATATCCTGTTTGTCCAAATCTGTCAGAGCTAATTGAATTTATTTGGAAAAATGACAGAGAATATTATTGTCAAAGATATCATACTAAGTGGGATCACATAGCACTCAAGGTTTCTGTGTCACTGGTGTGTGATGAAGAATCTGCAAATAAATTCCATCAGTCCGTTGTTATATTTAGCTGAGAAACAAGCTCTGAGGATAAATGTAAAATTTAGGGGACAATCTCTCAGTTAAGGACTTTATAAGCTAACATACTAGCAAGTCAGGGGGAGAGAGGGGAGGTAACATGTTTTGTAACCCTATCATCAATTTTCATATTGTTTGTTGACACAAAATTTACTTTTTTGAACTTTAAGGAGAGGCATTTGTGATCACTTTTTAAGGTGACTAAAACTAGACTACAAAATGGGCTTGTTTTTCCTCCACATGAAGAAATAAAAATGAAAAAGTGATACTCTTGGGCTAGCTTTCTCCACTGGCCTTTTTTTTTTTCCCTTCAGGAATTAGCTGGAGGGCAAATATTCGGAAGATTATATTAGCATAGTGTTGCTTGATCACTTTCTGGTGATTTTGCACACGATGCAAAGTAACAAATACAATCGCATGAAAATTACTGGGTGGCTGGCTGGTGACAACCTGTCATTTTATCAGCAGGGCACTGTGTAAGAAGACAGAAGGAACACTTCGTGCACTTTTTTATTAATTTAATTTTTTCAATATGTTCTTTCCCAAGACTTTAAAGGGAAGTTTAACTGATATTCATTTAAAAAATGCTTTGACAGAGATGGATATTATGCCAGGTCCCAGGCCCCAGGCCACTCCATTTCACTGTTTTCATCAGTATAGCTTGTGAACTTCTGGGTTGTATTCTATTGAAGAAAAGAGTAAAAATGTTACAGGTAATACTCCAGATGAATTCAACTTCTGGACTATGTACCAATTTCTGTCCCTATGACAGGTTAGTGAAGAGTTGAAATATTAAATGACACAATCATGTGATATGGTCTGTCATAGATTTGAACATTGACTTCAGTGTTAAGTTACTTCTTCTTAAGCAACAGGAATATCTAACTATCATTTCATACCTCACACTAGGTAGGTCCGCACTCCAATAGGGTTTCATATGTGGCATACATATTTTGAGCTTGATAATCTCTCCCCCCCTTGTTGCTGCATCAGTACAATGCTGATGATTGAACAATCATGCACTCCTGACTACAGCACCGCAGGACACACAATGCAAAAAAAACTTTGCCAATCTGGTTGAGAAAAAAAACAGACATATTTACATAAAACCTACCAAACAACGAACCAAAATCTTACAATGGGAAAAAGATCAAGTTACTACAAATGAAGTTTATAAACTAAGTTTACCTTCTAGGAAGTGAAATAAACTACAGTACCTACATACAATTGTGTGGAAGAAGTTGGTACCCAAAAAACTCTTCATTCAACTCTAATCTTCATTCTTTTCAAATCTTAAATCAATTTCCTGAAGGGTGTTAGCATGAGAGAACTAAATGCTAGAGGCATATGTAGGTTGGCCACACAGGATATTTGACATACACAGTTAATTTCAGGAAAAGGAGGTTAACCTGCTGTTGCAGTTAACAATTTAACCACCCAGATGAGTAAATTTTGTCACAACATCCATCCTCAAAATGGGTGTTTCTCGTTGTTACAACTGGACACCTAAAATAAAAATGGGGTGAATGTATGATGTGAATCAAGCACTGTAAATAACTATAGTTCTATACTGCCCCATCATTGCATATCGTACCCTAATGAAAGTATGTAGTGTTCAAGTTTGTTGTTTTGTTCAGCAGTTGGTTTGTGTTGTTACATGATTACAGTTTTGAAAAGATAGTGTGGTAAATGAATGTTCAGTTAAAACAGGGAAATTCATTCAAACATCCATTTGTACTTGCATTTTGAAATCAAGGGTCAACAATTTGACATTCTGAAACTTTTGCTTGACATCTTTTTAAGGTTGCTAGAGACATTGTACCCCTCTCTTTTGGTTTATGGTTTTCCCTTTTGTTATCATGCTGATACAGGAAAATAGTCTGCTTAACAACTGCAGCATGACCATGTTTGAAGAAATGGCATAAAATGAACATTCTTAAATATAGTTCTTGACAATGATTGTGGTTCATTTTTAACTTTGAGAATAAATCAAAGCTTTAAGTCATCCATTCATCATTAAAATAATAATGAAAAACTTGTCCCTTCGATCATTCTTGAAACATCTACCAACAAATTTTCAAGGGGAAATCAACATTTTGACATTAGTGCACAAAGCATTTGTAAGGCAAAAAAAGAGAGTTAGGTGCATTTGACTTGAAGATTTCTCCAATTCTCTGAAAAACAACCCCACAAGAAGTCCTCAAAATCATTTTCTTAACCTTTTCTAAAAAGACCAACAACACAAGGTTCTCAACTATGCCATAGGAGGACCCTCACTTGGGGTCATCCCTTTTGAAACCTTACCAACACTTGTCTAAGTCAAATTCAATTCATATCAAACTATCCCAAGATTTGAGTAAACAGCCTGCTCCCAGTTGGCTTGTTAGCTCAATTGGTAGAGCGCTGCACTAGTATCGCAGAGGTCAGTGGTTCGAATCCCATACAGGCCTGATTTTTTTTTTTCAGGTCTGATTTTCGCTATTGCATAAATAGCGCTATCTACTGTGAAGGATCGTGCATCATATAAACATTGTATTGCAACCAAATTTTCTGCACTTGATCAGTCACCATTTTTTCCTGCTCACAACAAGCTCCACTAACCCAACCCGAAAGCATCACAAAGAAAGGAGCTGGACATAAATAGAATGAAAGCAGATATGTTAAATAACACACAATTGGCATAATGATTTCGCCTGAAAAAAGCAAAGAAGTGTAAGTGGGACATTTAATAGAAAATTTCTCAATGCTATCCCTTGTAACTGGTTGGTAAAAGAAAAGTTAACCATAACTATAACAAGAATATAAATACACAAACAAAAGCTCTTCAAGTCTTTCACAAATAAACTAACAACTCCTGAGTAGCACCAAAACCTTTATTCTTAGCCTAACAAACTTTAATAACAGCCAAGGATTTGGGTATACAAATAAACTAATCTAAAAACATAAGTATGGAATAAAATTCTACTCCTAATAAAATACTGCAACTGGTCGAGTCCTGTCTACACGAAGAGGTCTGTGATTGGGAGGAAGCCTACACTGCATCTTAACTGGTAGATTGACTGCAACAGCAATTCTTCAGCGAATCCTTGGTAGCCTAGGTCCTGGCTGACTTAATGTAACTTATGTCTGGCTATGTTGACTTAAGACTTCAAATGCAACGAAACCTAGGTATCAAAACAGAATAAGCTTAGACTAATTGGAACAACAACGGTTAGCCTAATCATCAATAACTGAAGTTCTATGCTTTTTTTTAATATCTGCGCGATAGAGAGGACACACGAGGCAAGGTGTCATTTTTAATAAAGTTGAGGATGAAGACCTGAAGAATTCCTCTCCAAGCTCCAGCATTATGGTGCACATGACTGCTGTTAACTGTGCTATTCAACAATTTGAATTCTCTTACTCAAGTAGTTAACATTGTTTCTGCTAATAAAACAAACCCACGTGCTCTTTGCTGATAGCCTTCAGTCAGCTTCCTATACTCCAACCTAAAATTTCATGAAATTTTAAAACAGGCATGAAAGCTAAAAAAAAATTGTCCCTACCCTACCTTGTCTAGTATGGTGTGTACCGTTGTCTTGGACCGCCACCTCTTCCATATCCACCCTGCTGTGAGCCAAAGTTTGAAGGAGCTTGCTGGTAGTTACCCATATTACCGTAGCCATTGTCGTAGCCATAACCTTCATAGCTGTAATAACTCGGATCGGAGTATTGTTGGTATCCAGCACCGCCATACATATTATATGCGTGGTGTCCACCTCCTCCACCACTGCGATCGCGATGGCTGAATCCACGACCACCTCCGCGTCCACCACGACCCCCAGAACGTGCCCCCTGACCATCTTTAGGTTGAGCTTTCTTGATTTCAACTTGTTTGCCAGAGATAGTGATCCTTTTGAGGCAACAAAGTTCATCCACAATATCCTCGTCGTCAAATTCAACGAAGCAGAAACCACGATGCTTTGTTGGCTCTTCTTTTTTCATGATCAGGTCCACAAGAGTTGGCGCAATTCCGCGTGCTGACTCGGCGACGGCTTGCTTGATGTCTTCCATGGTCGTCTCGTCTTTCAATCCACCAATGAAGAGTTTCTTTGTTCTATGATGAGCTGATGCGCTGTCCTCATTTCTCGGAATAGCTCGTTTTACTTCCACGGTTTTGCCATCAATCGTATGAGGTTTTTCTTCCAAAACCTTTAAGACGCTTTCTCTCTCAGCGAAAGTCACGTAGCCGAATCCTCTAGAAGCCTTGGTTCCATCGCGTATTACTACACAGTCTGTCATTTCTCCATAAGACTCAAAGTACGTCTTTAAAGTTTCGTCTGATGTGGATCTATTTAAACCACCAACAAACACCTTCTTCAGTGGATCTTCGTTGGCCTGATCATTCGCCATGTTTTCGCTTTCCTTTTCGAAAGAGCTAGCGTAGAGTTAAAAACGGTAAGTCGGGAAGGAAGATTACAGAGTCACTCGAGTGAGGAAGGAACTGTAAGAGAAACGCAGAAGGGTAACACATGCTGGTTGTGCTAAAGTAGCACGTGTTCGCACAACTCCCTTTTGATTGGCTGAATGACAAAGGATAAGAATGGCTTTGATTGGATACTTGAATAAGCTTAAAGTTGATAGATTCGCGGGCTCAAGTTCAAAATGGCGTTCAAACAGAGGTAATTTCGGAATCCCTTCCAAGTATGTTTCCTTTACAATAAAATCATTTTGATCAGGCGACCGACATTCATTTTTGTCACATTGAAGGGTTTCTGAGTTCAAGTCCGCTCTCGCTGCGAAAGAGATTGATCTTAAGCATCTGAGAAGACTTTGCTTTAGCGGTGTGTTATGATTCATTCCTATTTGTCAGGATCACAGTGTTCTGGTCACATCACATGATCTGTAACTTATTATGATCATCTTTGTCAATCTTCCATCACCTTTTAATAGGAATTCCTGATGGATCTGGAACTCGATCAGTGTGTTGGAAGGTAAGCAGCGATGCTTAATGATAGATTGATGTGAAATTTGCGTGTTTTCAACTCGTCAGTTACTGGGTGTCACGAAAACTAAGACCTAAGACCTAAGACCCCTCGAAAACTAAGACCCCTCGAAAACTAAGACCCCTCGTAAACTAAGACCCCTCGAAAACTAAGACCCCTCGAAAACTAAGACCCCTTGAAAACTAAGACCCATCGAAAAACTGTTGGGTACGGAATATTTTAAAAGAAAGAAGACGTCAAGGTGATCTTTACAACTTGGACACAGTTAATAGAGCGAACTATGACCTGGAGGAGCTACAACTTGGGAGATCATGAATTTTACTTGGGGTGTTTACATGCAGGCTACCGAGCTGCAAAATTAAACGTTGGATATAGATAAGTAAACTTTTCGCTGCTAGATTGAGACTAGGTTTACACTAGAGGAGAGTTTTCAGGATTCGTAAATGTTTCCGGATTCATCAATTCTGGAGTATTCGGATTCGTAGGCATTTAAACTGAAAGGATATTCAGATTCCTGACCATTTAAACACAAAGACAACTCTGGGAACATTCGAAATGGAATGGTTACCAAGCCCAGTGTTGTTTCGTTGTTCGATTGATAAAGTGAAAATGCCTCCCCAAAAAAAGGCTAGAGTAGATCCAGATGCCACTGAGGCAAATTTGAGCTGGACAGATGCCAAGCCATCTACGTCATTGGGAATTAAGTGTGGCTGACATTAAACTTCCTTGCAATAATAATTTGCATTTCCTCAGAAATACTGCAGTACACATGATAAAATTTATCGCCTGAACCTGCAAGAAGATTAGGCAACTGGAGACTGCCAGCAATGTTAGCACCAGATGCTCCATTTTGATTTCACAGCAAACTCAAAAGATTGCAGGCGGAAATAATATCTGGATACAAGAAAAAAAGAGGTTACATGACAAAACTTTCTGGATTCAAAAGTTATCGGATTCAAAGTTCCCACTTTAAATTCCGGAATCAAAATCTCCAGAGACATGATCAAACCGGGGAGTTTTTATTTTGGATTCGTCCACTTTCGTGTAAACGGCAAAATCAATCCGGTACTAAAACGTTTCGGATTCATCATGAATCTGGAACAATTTCCTCTAGTGTAAACCTAGTCTTACACTGTCTATTTAATTTAGAAAGAAAAAGTGAGCTTTCCGTTTTCCTTTTCACTTAACAATTGGTCCATACATCAGTGTGCGTTCATTGAGATATGAAGCACGCAGGAAGTTTGGAGACCACGAAAGATGCGTAAGAGTTGCTCGAGGTTTAGCCAAGAGCAACTCTAGCTTCCCAAGTGCTTCATATCTGGATGAACGCATAGCTGACGTATGAACCAATTGCTTTATAACATTTTCAATGCTGTAGTTTATGTGTAAAGGGCAGATATTCCCTCTCCTACGCTTCAATGCATTGTTTATTTATTTTGTTTCAGAAAAGTATTTCGCTATGCTTCAATGACCTTGTCTCAGATTAGTCAAAAACTGCGTGGAAATGAAGTTAGAGTTGTGAAACGAGATGAAACCAGTGTTGATTGTTTTGTTTTCCCTTTCTCTGGGTTCTTTCTCGGGAGTTAAAAATCCATTCCCAAAGAAAAAGTAGGCAGATCTTCATCAGCTTGTTCATTTGTTGCTATGTCTAGTTTAACTTTTTTGCGGAAGTTTTTCCTGTTTTTTAATGAAAAATGCTGAAGTCACTCGCGAGAAAAAAATTTTTTTCACGAAGCATTTGTTTGCCCACCTCACCAGCGTGCACAATGGAAAATTGAAGCACACTCACGTTATTGAATTTGAGTACACGGATTTACAAGCTACCATATTTTCTCGATTAAACACTGGACCTCAATGAAACACTGGCCTTGAAAAAACAGGGTCAGCACTGATGATTTTTTATTAAATGCCGGGGGCGTTTAATCGAGAAAATTGACCACTTTCATAAATGGCTGCCGGATTAATATTCTTTTGTTTAAATTTAAATTAGCCTTTCTGGCCTCGCTTGAGATAGTGTATTCTTTTGAATTTTGTACTGGAGAACGAGGCCAGAAAGGCTAATTTAAATTTAAACAAAAGAATATTAATCTGGCAGTCATTTATGAAAGTGGTCTATACGGTTGTTTTAATACACATTAGTGTGGATGGGGCCTGTTTTAATTTTTTATATGCAAATATGCTAGTCCAATCAAAGTTCGTGTAACTTAACCCTATTGACCTTAAGTTTTGTGGACCACAACAAATTACCTAGGACAAGGTGAGAACCGACCTCCATAATAGGGTATAACTGGACAAATCACAGCATATCCAACGTCCCAAACATATTATTGAAAGATACAAAAGCCCATCCACGTGAAAGAAGATGAACTAAGCTGGTCCTGAATTGTTGTCGTTTTAACACTTTACTGCTTAAATCATATTACCAGAAGTCACACACAAGAGCTGCGATTGGAAATGCTGATCTTAAAAATTACATTTAAAGTTTCCCGAGAATTGAAAACAGGCTACTTATTTTAGCAGCATACATTAAAACGGCCTTTCGTTCAAAACGTGTGCATCGAAAACATTCTCTGCTGGGCTGCTGTAAGTCACTGATAATTACACACTCGGTAATTCAGGCCCCGTCTACACTAATGTGTAGTCAAAGGAGAAACAGAAAGCTCACTTTTTCTTTCTGAATTAGATAGACAGTGTAAATCTAGCAGCGAAAAGTTTACTTATCCATATCTACGTTTAATTTTGCAGCTCAGCAGCCTGCATGTTAACTCCCCAAGTAAAATTCATGATGATCACCCAAGTTGTAGCTCCTCCAGGTCATAGTTCGTTCTGTTAACTATGTCCAGGTTGTAAAGATCACCTTGGCTTTTTCTTTCTTTTTAAATATCCCATACTCAAAATTTTTTCAAGGGGTCTTAGTTTTCAAGGTAGACTTGCTCACAAGTCACGGTTTTGAGCGCGTAGCGCAACAGTAAGTTTGACAGTGAATGCGAAGCGCGAAGCGAGCTGAGCCGAGCAAGCAAAGTTCCTGCGGGTCCTATCACACCAGAACAGAAAACCAAGCGAACAACTTTGAGAAAGTCTATTTTCGAGGGGTCTTAGTTTTTGAGGGGTCTTAAATTTTCGAGAGGTTTTAGTTTTTTAGGGGTCTGAGGTCTTAGTTCTTGAGACACCCTCAATTACTTCAACAATTTTGTAGATTAGCTTGGAAACCCTTGGCAATATTATTCTCAACCATCAACATTTCGAATGCCCAATTGCATTGAATATGGACTGGTTGGATAAGGAGATCACCTTCAGTTGGTTTCCCTCTTTAACATTCATTAGTCTGTTTACTATGATTTGCTGAACTTGGACATAAAATTATTTAAGAGTGGAGTACAGAAAGCCTTGAAGCTTGTTATTAGGACATGTATATGGATACTGGGAGTCGAACCTTTAAGAAACTATCGCTTATAATATACTTTTCTCTTCAACAGTCAAACCTACATCAATGAGCACTGTATTAAGGGGTCACCCTGTATGAAGGGATCGGTAATCAATGTCTTGCAGTTTTTTCCTTAAGTACATTGATTTTCACCTCTACTAGCTAGATTGTCACCTCGTAAGGGAGGAATGCTCAAATAAGACTAAGAATAATCCCTCAAATCAAATTTTATTCCATGTTTATCTCTTGAAATCAATTTTAGCACTTTGGATTCAAATGCCCACACCACATTGCAGATTATCTTTGTTCTTAGGACTTTAGGACAAAATGATGTTTTCTATTGCATTTGACCCCTATTTTGTTAAAACTTTATTAAGCATTTAGCCTACCATTCTCTGTGGGTGACCCCTTTAGACAGGTTTGACTGTAGTTGTATCAGTATTGTCTATAGTGACATGTGGCTAAAAGAGGAATTTATCATTGAGGGCTATTAGTTCTTGTCATTTACAAGGCTGAGTTGGATGAAAAATAAAAAATGAGTAGTTGTTTACTTAAGAAGTCCATGGAGTAGGTCCATTAACCCATTGACTCCTAAAATTTCTCCTTCCAATATCAGCCAGGTCAGAAGAATAAAGGAAATAAACACCATCAAAAGAAGCTAGTGATTGTTAGCACCTTTGTAAATATGTAGAGACAGTGTGGAGAATACATGCATGCATGCTGATCCCAGGGTACATACATGCATACATACATACATCTTTATTTAACAATGCAGGTTAGAAGGATTGGCAAGACCGAAATCCTGATGTGGACCTGCCTAACTACAAATTAAATACAATCACAATAAAATATATAATAAAAATTGGAAAAACAGAGTAAAATTACTTCTTAAATACAATTCTAATTAGGTAAGTTAAATACAAATCAATATTGAATTTACAATTAAAAATACAGGAAGTCATCGTGTTTCATTGAAACACAGCAGGAACCTTTGGCAAAATTTATGCTATTGAGAAGATGCTTGTTAGCCTTAAGCTTAATCTTAAACAATCTTAAGTTAGCACATTCCTTGACATGATGGGGAAGAAGATTCCATACCAAGGCGGCCCTGTGTTTAAAAAAAGACCTGCCAATTTCAGATCTTGGTCTTGGCACTTCTAAATTTAGAGAATTTCTTAAGCTGTAATTCCTTTTTGCCTTAGAAATTAAAATATTTAGATCCTCGGTATTTAAGCTATGATAGGATTGATAGGTCAGAACTAGCAGTCTTTTAAAGAGACCAGGACCACAGGGAAGTGTTTGTCCTTGCCAGCAGCCATTTTTCTTTACTTTTTAGAATGTTGCATAATGAAATATTACCATTAGAACTTTAGAATACCTTAGAATTTATGACTAATTAAAAAATAATTTATAACTAATGATGGGATATACTTTTCAAGTGCATTAGCAAATGAATCAACTTAAACATTTTGTTTTACTATTGAAGCTTCTTTTGGGATACCTTCCTCCAGAAAAGGATCTCTGGCCTGAGACACTTAAAAGACAGAGGTTAGCTGGCCATTTTGTTACCAGTGGTATTACAATACTGTGCAAAAGTAATGCAAACAATTATCGTCATTTATTTCACTTTGTTCTTTGGATATATCACTCAATATATCAGTGATATATCTTTCATTTGTTATATTGACTTCATTGTTCATTTTCACAATGTTACCTCACAAATCTAACACTTAGTGGTGGTGATATCTTGCAGACTCAAACAATATATCACAAAGCTGTAAAAATATTTCGCTTAGTATAAATGAGATATCGTTAAGCAGCAGCGATATCATTGGATGTAAATGATATATCAGGGAGGCAAAAACACTATATCAATGAACTGCAGTGATATATCGCTGAGCTCAAAATATTGCTGAGCTCAAACGATATATCGCCCAGGGAAAACGATATATCACTCAGGAAAAATGATAATCCACTAGGAGGTCAATGATATATCAGCAATATCTTGTGGTTGTTGAAACAATAGCTCAGCGATATATGGCTGATATATTGTTCCATAGAAATGTCACTCAAATATCACTGATATATAGGGATGATCGCAATATTTGGTGACAATCATTTGCATTACTTTTGCATAGTACTGTTTGAACAAAATCTCTATGGAATGGAAAGAAAAATGAATTACTTTTTCCATGATGGGGAAATAAAAAGTCTGTTGAACTATCTGCTTACATTGTTTCTTCCTTTGTAACATTTTTGTACAGATCCTTTAGCTTATTCTTAAAAACAATTTTATTTTCAGATCCACTTACAAACAGTTTGTTGAAGAGATTATCATTGAGCAGTGTAAAGGAACAAAGTCTGGAAAAGATTCCAAGGAATTTGATGTTGATCATGTAAGAGACCTGGCTGAAATCATATTCTTTAAGCAATACATATATCTTATTAGATGTTTTGTTGTGTAGTATCGCTGAGTATTTTTATGAGTTGTGCCTTATTTTAACGAGCCCGTAGGGCAAGTCAAAATACAAATAACGAGTAAAAATACTCAGCGATACTACACAACAAAACATCTAATAAGTTATTTATTATCCAACATGCCAAACTGTTATTTCAGTGCGGGCGAATTTCTCGGATATTTATTTACAGGGAGTGCGTGACAGAAGTATGCGAAGCGGAATGGAATTG